AATCACGGTCCAGCCTCAGTTGCTTACACTTGCAATTTATGGCGATAAACAGAAACTTGTAAATCTTTATGTCACGCACTCAATGACGGTTTATGGACTGAGTGGTAGAGGAGATGCCGATACAGTTCGAGATACAAAACATGATCGAGAGAACACTGAAGCCTCAATATTCTCCCCAGAAACTTTTAACACCTAGATTAACAGGGGACCTTTTATCTTTCAACAAAATGTGGTGTGTTTCAACAAAATGTCGTCTTTCTTTCCCGCCGTTTTACTTCATTGCCTTTTGAGATGATCAGGTACATAACCACGAGGAGGGCTGAAGAGCATGGCGATGGGACCTGCTACTAATGAATCCTATTACATTCCCTTACGCATTGAAGTTTAACGAGAGAGGTTGGTAAGACGCCCCCCCCCCGCCCACTTCCCCTAATCCTGTATCTTACAAATCGTCCGATACTGAGTCCGACAATTACGACCCCCCTCCGCCTTCCACAGAGGCAAATACGACCCCCGGTCGAGGAATTCCTCGACCGATATTCACCCTGGTGTAGGCTCTAGAGCTGCTACTGTTTTCGATGCAGACACCGATGGGAAACGTACCGATGCAATGAAAGATTACAGCCTGTTCAAGGCTTTCGGAGTTGAATCATCCTTCCATCGAATCTGGTACGCAAACTTGTGAAAGGCACACAACACCGAATCGATCACTTCTTGAGTTACAGCTGTTGACACGGCGAATGGTGGTCCTAGGTTAAGCAAAACTTCCATTTCTCCGTCTACTACGTCCGTCCGATTACTGTACATCGTTTCGGTGGCTCTGCATTAGGTGAAATGAAATGCTGAGTATTAGCACGCACATGAGAACGTAGGAATGCGGAAATTCCCTCTTTCGCTACCTCGAATTCGTAAGCAGAGCATTTGTTTCTATCAGAAATCGCCTGCCATACGTTGATATCCAATCTTCCTCAAACTAAGAACCTCTCGATTTGTTCGGATTAATAGAGGAAGACGACAGCTCTTGCTAGCTAGCTTAAAATGTAATATCTTCCAGGTGATGGAACGTTCTATTCGCAGAAAAGGTCTTGCCATGGGATTGAGAATTTCGTCGCTACTGGCAATCGTCTATTTGGATCGTATAGAACGTAGGTCAATGACCGAAGGAATTGTGTTTTATAAGCGCTATATAGACGATGTCTTCGTAATTGGCTCTACAGTTGAAGATACGTACACGATGCTTCGGAAGCTGAACTCGTGTGATCCAAACATACGTTTCACTGTGGAGTGTCCAAATGAATGCGGCTACCTTCTGTTCCTGAATACAAGGGTTCGGATATCCCATGGCACGAAGGAATTCGAGTGTTATAGGAAACCGGTGTCAAAGAACATCCTTCTGCATTCTCGAAGTGCACATCCGTTGTACATGAAATCCAACGTCATAAGGAACCTTACACGACAAAGGCAAGGACATGTACTAGAGAATCAGAAATCATATCGGAAAATTCTGGAAGAAAATGGCCGTACGACGGGTCAACCAACAACATGGCTCCTTTCCTTGCTGCAGTAGGAACACGGCTAGTTCAACTGTATGTTAATGGAAGGATAGCAAAGAAAGTAAACCATGTCGTCAAGTCGTCAGGTATTCCAGTCCAATTGATATTTCGACCCCCCCCCCACCCAAAATGCTTGCTGACGTCATCACGGATTTATGATAGAAAAATGTGGCCGGAGCAACTGTACGTTCTGCGTCGATCATGAAATCTGTCAATTACGTGGAACAGTATATTTGGTCACGTGCAAGGATGCGGTCACGAGTACGTTGGTGAAACGGAGCGTCCGCTACATAAACGGATGGATTAACATAAACGAGCGCTACAGAATCCGACTTCTCATCTAAGGAGTACGTACTCGCGGCATCGTTTACTGTGTCATCGGCAGGAAGCACTCCTCAACCTGAAAGTTGCCGTATTACACCACTAAAAAGATGTCCCATTAGTGAAAAAAACTGCTCGTGGCGCTTGCTATTAAGCGATATCTCCCGAAATGAACAATAGGGATTAACTCATGGCGGCAAATATCGGTAGCGATAAAGAATTCCTCACACAAAGTCTGAAGAAGCTGTTAATACAGCGAAAGCTTGCCAATAAAGCTATATGAATGAGTCCTCAGTACTAACTCCTATAAGATGATCTTACTGTCACGTGTGTCTCATTTTCCACATATACTCAAGGAATTGGGGTGGACACGTGGCGCTGGTGGAGCTGCTAAGGTTGGTTTCTTTAGTTGGAGTTTTTCCTCTATTTGAAACTCTGAGTAGTATCGTGGGGACTGACCCTACAAGCTAAAACTTCGAACTGACTTCAGGTTCTGAAGACGACGAGTTGTTCGGAACGTCGACCAGATAAATAACTTCCACCGTAACAACCTGTATGGCAAAAGAAGAAAAACAAGCAATATGGAAGTTATGTATTCCACAAACTCTAAAGCCGAATCGTCCCGAACGCGATCTAACATCGTCAAGTTTTCAACATGCCCAGGTTTGAAGAAGACCGAACATGGAATCTGACACCTTCCATATTTCCAAACATTTGGGAGATCTTAATTTTTAGTGACGGAGAAAGAAATATATTTATATCCAGAAAAACTAAAGCATTAGCTTGTCCCGTAAATGTGTGATTATTGTTTGAACAAGAAAATTTCTGCTAATATCCCATGTTTTTATATCATCTTTATGGCGTTCGAAAGAAAATTGTCCGCTCTACAAAATACTGTAGCCCACTTCCACATTCGTTCCCAATTTTTGAATTTCAGGTTTGAGATGGGAGGTCTAGTCGACAAAAATTCGTCAAACCGACAATTAGCTCTAACTGTACTTCCCCGTAGGAGAACACAATCAATTACGTACCCTCTACTTACTTATGACTTCCTTTAAACAATTCGCTATTGGGGCCTAACAACGCTCGCGTCCTCCCTTTTTCAGGTATGCTTTTTCCGTCAGAACTTGACGGTTAAGCACCATCTCTTGAAATCTGCCCCGAGAGCTTTCTATAGCCGAAACGTTGAAATACTAGTGAAATGTTAGGAACAAGGAAAAGTTAGGTAGGGATGCTAAGGTAAGAGTGTGTGCCTATTTAGTTTTTGATCTTCTCGGAGGAGCTTCTTTCCAGAGTAATGTGGTCGTTTTGTGGACTAAACACCTTATCCCCAAACTTAAAATTCAACCTAATTCACAGTGAATACAAAAGCGAACATTAGAGCGATAGAGAAGAAAAGGTGGTTACGAGTAATATATTTCCTAATAGAAAACAATAGTGCTTCAGAGATAAAATTCAGTTCAAAGAATAGAGGAAATCACGACGGCTTTTCGATCAACCAGAAAAACTGAATTTGAGAAAAATCCAGCGAGGCTTTTTGACAGCCCAACAACGAAATGTTCAAGACGAGTAGGTAAAGGTAGTAGAGTACATAATTAACTTACTCCTATGGGAGTTAGAACTAATTGTCGATTTGCCTAGTTCTTGTCAAATTGACATCCCATTTCGCTGGCCGAAATTTGAAAATTTACCACGAATGTGAAAGCGAAACATAGCGCTTTGTTGATCGGACATTTCTCTTTCGAGTGGCATACAAGCTGGTATAGAAGCGTGAAACTTAAGCTGAAAATTTTTCGTTCAACTAATAGAAACGATAGCACTTGTGAGAGAGCTAAGCAGAACTTCGATAAAATTTCTGTGCATAGATATGGAAGAACGAGCAGCACTTCAAGCTGTAGCCAGAGCCCAAAGGAATCGAGATGTGGCCTTTTCGCGACTAAAGGTGCGCTCGTTGCAGCGCCGCGGGGCTGTCAATTCTTTCTGAGCTCCGCCCACCGCCTGTGCTCCGCCCCTCAGCAGATCGCTGTTCGATTATCGTTTTGATAAGGTGTGCCACTTCGAGCGCGTGTCCAATACTTTCTCATGGAATGCTTTGTCAATCAAGGTATGATCTCTGGTGGTATGATGGCAGCTATGGTTTAACGAGTGCCGACGACCTCCTAGTTGGTTGCCAACTCGTCCATTATCGGAGATCAACGGGCAGAGGAAGTGGTCCCATTTTGCGCGTTTTTGACGGATTTCTTTGCGTTTTTTGCTACTAGGGCATTATTCAGCATCTCCACTTCCACTGTGAGCACAGAGAATCTTATCGTAATCTCTCGCTTTAAAGGAATTCTTCGCTAAAAATTCTTGCACACATTTTCAACATGAATGTATCAAATGTGATCACTAGATACAATACACAAAGTTCATCGCATGAAGGTTCGGTTCTCAAAGAGCAACAAACTCGCGAAAATCCATTCTACGGACATCGAAGGTAATTCGAGCGGAGCCAAAGGCGGGACACGGAATAAGTCCGCATAGGGGCGCCTACGTATCAGGCGACGCAATGAAATAATCGGGTTAAAGCGCGTAATTTTGGAGAGTAGAGGCAAATCGATCGATAGAATAGGATGGAGTGGAAGTGTAAGACGTGAATGCAATAAAGCAGAAGGCCAGAAAGAGTTTCTAGTGAAAGCACTTCAAGAACGAAGTGGAAGCATCCCCGTCGCCAGCATTCGTGAAAAACGTCCGTGGGCATTTCAAACGCGTAACAGCCCTTTCGGTTTTTCGAAATTTTTACCAAAACAAATGCAAGTTTTCTGTTCTTTCCATTTTTGTTGTGGACGATGGGTCTCAAGCCAGTGAATTATGGCTGAAATTGAATCATGATTTTTCCATGAAGGATTCCGTCAATAATAGCTATTGAAAGCAGCGTATAAATGGAGTAGGTGAGGTAGGTCACTGTGAATGCTTCTCCACAAAACTTGTTTCACGTCTCCGCAATTTTCCTAGGAATCCTTACAGCAACAAATGTGAAGTGGTTAACCATTTTTTAGGCAACATAATAGAAACTAGTGGTGAAACGTCATCTATGTAGATGCTTATTTAGTGGAATAATAACGTTGAAACATAGTTTCCAACCTCCCCATCCACAAGAATTGCCATGTTTATAACAGCCGAAGGACTAGCGTGTAAAGTGATCGGTGGTGTATCCAACCAACCACCAAAAAGATCAATCTGAAATTATTCAAAAAAAAACAGTAAAATATGTACAAATAGTATATGTAGAAAGTAACAACTGCGCACTTCCGTAAATAAGTTCTTAGTTTGAAGACGCAAATAGACTTACCCTAGCTGCAGCTTTCACCGTTACGCTTTCCGGAATAGCATAGCGCACTCCGATCGGGACTGCGATGAAGTGCTGAAATATTCCAAGGTCCTAACAGGAAAAATAAAAACCTTCGTTGGTTATAAGTTAATCACTAACTTTTTTTCTCAATCACCGTTGAGGTCCGTATACAGTGTAAAGCAGATGCTACCCCTTCAAGTGATTACCTGAATTGCCTTCCATGATCGGAGTTACTTCTCCGAGTAACCTCACTAATGCATTATATGAAACTGCTATTTCGTCCCTCTGTGTTTCTGTGCTACCTGAAGAATCACCTGCAGAGGCTTGGTTGGTAAAGGCTAATATGTACCAGGCTGGGTTCAAGTCAGGTAAAATCAAAAGCTTTCATCAGGTTGTTGAGAGAGCTTTGTGGCCAAAAAGGGGTAAAATTCATAGAAGGGGAAGAAGTCAAACATCATAGTAGGCGAGGCGTGCGCCGAGGTGGGCGGAGCTAGGACCGAAAACGCGGCTGCTTTCCGAGTCCTGAGGCCTCGAGGCAAACTAATGCACTACCACACAGTGAGCTGTGTGGGCTACGAGTAACATTTCCACCAGGATATCCCATGATTAGTGAATCACTTTGGCTCTTTTTCGATTTTATCTTTTTTATTTATGCTTGTTCATTCAAGCGTACACCATCATCAACCACAAAACTGGCTACGCATGGGATCGCTGACTTTTCTCGTGTATTCCATGGTAATTTGATCGGGAAAAAACCCAGTGTCGGTTTCGCATGTCACGTCGCGCAAAATTTCTTCACGAGTTCTGGAAGCTAGAATAGAACAGTGCTAGAATTTGAGTGGATGGTCGCTTGTAACTGCGACATTAGAGCTACACGGCGGAGCTAAGAACTGAAATTTCCACTTTTGTATGAATCTTCTCCGCAAGGTGGGATTGATTTGACCCCAAAAAAGGCGATTTTCGTCTTCCTTCGCTTTTAAATTGAAGGCGTCGCTGCCATGCTGGTGATTATTGTCTTTATCATTGACCCTGATATCAGCGAGTACCGGTTCCCAGCAGAAGCCCTCTATTGTGTTCCAACAACAGCTCAGAAGGATCGCACTTAAAGGATCATGGTAGAAGTTCAGAATCGTCTGAACTAGGCTGCTGCTTGTGTATTCGTTAGCCCGCTGCATGAGGTCTGGGTCCACCTCACCGGTGAGTACATATGTTGTATGATCAGTGGAAGGAACTGTGGAAAAATCAGAAGAGACATTAGATGTCGGATCGTGTTTAGTGCTCATTTCGGCTTAGAGCATGTGAGATATGAAGTCCTATTTTTTTCAAATCTTCGCCACTCTACGCAGATGTTTTAGTACCATCATCCCATCAGAAGTGTTTG